GGAACGCAGCGACTCTCGATTTCGTTCTTTCTTTCGAATCCCGAGGAAAAAGAGGGCGAGGAAAATAAATCGGGAAACAATGGATGGATGGAACAAAATTCGAAAAAAATATTATTCGTCCCAACTTTTCTTTTTCTTCTTTGAAGAAGGAGAGAGAAAGAGAGTAAGAGGGGGAAATAGGAACGCAACGACTCTCGATTTCGTTCTTTCTCTCGATCCCGAAGATAGAGCGTAAATAAATTGAGAAACGATCGGATTGAATTTTTATTCAAAAGATTTAATTATTGAATATTTTTTTTTTCAAGAAAAATAAATTATTTTTCTATAGTAAATTTAATTATCAGAACAATATTTACTGTTTCATATTCATTTCGAATAATTTTAGTTATAATGAATAAATATTTGGTAGTTACTATTAATTTATAAAAATGAAGATTTAATTATAAATTGAACAATATTACTAATAATAGTTTTAATTTATTTGAAAATTGATTATTTAATTTAATAAATTTTAATTTATTAAAATAGAATAAATTTAATATTAATTTATAAATTTATAATTTTTAAAATAATTTTATTAGGAACGATTTCGAGATATAATTTTTATAAATATATCGAAGAAGAAAATATTATTCGATAATTCTTCCTTTCTCTGATACGACGATCCTCTTTCGATCATTCGTTCTTTCGACTTCCCCTTTCCCCTCTTCCTCCATGGAGGGACACTTTTTGCAGTCGCGTTAGCCGTGGGCGGAGAGGGGCAGGCAAACTCGGTGGAGGCGCACGGTTCTCGTGAATCTCGTCCACTTCCTTTCGAATTCGACTTTTTTCGAATAAAAGGTCGAATAAAATAAGAGGTCTCCCTCCTCGCCCTCCTCACGCCGAATACAAATTTCGTTTTCGCCCCACTTTTCATATCTGTTCATCGATTGTATTCTCGATCGAGTAGCTAGTTTATCCTATCTAACGTAAAATGATTTTACAAACGCTTCTACCAATAAAGAAATAAAGAGACTTATTATTAAGTGTGCAAACAAGTTTCTTCCCCCTTTTTTTTCCACGATCCTAACTTCCAACCGAAACCTTTCCTAGTCCTTTCGACTACTTAAGGATCTTCGTAGGTATTTGGAATTATATTCCAGAGGGTATAATAAAACTATAGAAATTTATGAAAGTAATACAAAAATGGTCTACCAAAAAATTATTTAAAACTTTAAAGCATTCTACATAAAGCTGAAAATAGTCAGGACGAAAAATTATTGTCCGCTGTATGACTCACTAACTCTTCCATTTTTCTTTTCAACATTGGAACGAATTAGGAAAGAAATTTTAACGTTTAAAATTTTAACAGTGGAAACATTCGAACTCGTGTAGAGACGAGTGATGCGGCAGATTATTCTCGCGACCACCAGCGTTACTAAAATATCAATGGAAGAACCTGGCGCAGCGCGCTTGGCCCGAGATTTCGTTGGAAACAGCATTAAGACCGCTCTAACAGTTTCCAGTCCCAACGATCTCGAGCGACATGTCGCGTGAAAAGCTTAGGAGATCTGCTGCCGAAATGATTGGCGCGAAAAATCGTGGCAAAGATTCGAATTTTAATTTTAATTTGGAAGACAATGATTCAGGTTCGGATGCAGCCCGAGAAAATTGAAAAATCCGAAAAAATTGACAAGAAAGATGGGGAGCCACTCGAAATCTTGTGCCTGATTCGTGTAATAAAATTTTGAATTTGGAAAAAAAGGGGGGGAAAGTATAATTAGAGAAGAGATAGCACAATAAATAAAGAGCTGTCGAGAGCGCGCCTCGAAGCGTTAAGAGTTCGTCGAAAGATAGACAGAGAAGGAGAAAGGAAGAAGTCGCGTTTTGGGACAAGCAACGAACGTTAATGGATAGAGGAGCAACACAGGTGTGGTGTCGGTAACGATCCAGCCGAATCCTAATCTCCCTTTCCAAAAACTTGCGAGATAAATGCGGGAAGCACCCTCCGGAAAGCGAAGAGGGAAGAGTTAATAAGAGGGGTCGAGAGTCGAAAACGGGGAGGAAAACGGGAGGAACTTTTCGTTTTATTCGCGTCGAGGCCATTACCATTTTCCCCGTTCGGGACTTTGACCCGGGTGGACGAGGGGAGAGGAGGAGAAGAACGAGAGAGAGAGAGAGAGAGAGAGAGAGAGAGAGAGAGAGAGAGAGAGAGAGAGAGAG